GACGGCCGTCGGAGAAGGTACTTCTCCCCGGAGCATTCATCAGAAAAAGCCCCCGTCCTCGGGGCATTCATCGGAGAAAATCCCCCGTCCTCGGGGCATTCATCGGAGAAAAGCCCCCGTCCTCGGGGCATTCATCAGAAAAAGCTCCTGTCCTCGGGGCATTCATCGGAACTAGCCTACCGTCCCCGGGACATTCATCGGAAAACTCGCCAGACGCGGCGGAACTCGCATCCCTCCTCGGGGCGTTCATCCCGCCCCGACCACACATTCCAGTTAGACGACGGAAATAAAAAGAGAGGGAAAAGAGGAACTCACTTGTAACGGCGGCGGACGGAAGAAAAGAGCAAACGGCACGGCGGCGATCGGCGGCAAGCGGCGGACGAGCAGAGACGATAAAAGATTAGCAGGGAGAAAAGTAACAGAATGAGCGGGGACCGCCATATTTATAACCCGGCGCGGGACTCGAAGCGACTCTAGGCTCATTAATGACATAGGTTAGCCGCCCCTACGACCGCTTAACACAAGACACGTGGAGGCAACCTGACAGTCGCGTCCCTTCATCTGCCTCCTCCCCGTTCTACCGACGACCGGAGCCCTTCGTGCGAGTCCCCGCTCCAGACATGACGACCTTAAGTCCTCGCTCTTCCCCAGAGCTTCGACTTGGGGGGCTCCTGTTCCGGTATGGGCCTCACCTCGGCAGGCCCAATACCAAATGCGGCCCAACAAGCGAACTGGGCGCGCCTGGCACGCGCCCCTTCGAACGAGCAGGACTGGCCGCCGGGCACAAGCTACCGCTCCGCGTCCCTTTTGTCGTCCGTCACGCCGGACGAGCAAGACTACCCGGGCTCCCTCCGCGGGAGAATAACGTGCTCGGCGCACGTTCTCCACGTGCTCCCCTCCGCGGGGACACGTCATCGGCCAACCGCCCACCTCCGAAAGAGCAGGTCAAACCCACTTTCCGGAGACCTAGGAGCGGTTGAACTAGGGCGAAGACCACGTCCTGGTCTTCACTACGCCACGTAAGCCCTAGCAGTCATTAGGGTTGGGCCTGGTCGTCCGGCCCACCTCGAATGACCGTTGGCCCAGCGCTGGGGTCTCTCTATAAATACCCTCTTCTTCAAGAGGGTCAGGTAACTCTTCTTGCCCCTTTTTCTGTACTATTGCTTCCTCTCTGTCCAACTTCTTACTTGGGCGTCGGAGTGCTTTGCAGGTACACCCCCTCCTCTTTCTTACCCCGACGAACAGATAACCGTCCAGCGGAGTGTGGCCAGTCCGTGATCCCTCCTGATCAGGTCAGATCATATATATATATATATATATATATATATATATATATATATATATATATATATATATATATATATATATATATATATATATATATATATATATATATATATATATATATATATATATATATATATATATATATATATATATATATATATATATATATATATATATATATATATATATATATATATATTCTGTTTTTAATAAAAATAACATATTTAAATACAACAACAACAATCAAACATTTCATATACAATATTATTCATATATAATCAATATTATTCACATTTAAAATATAATATATATTCTGCTTTTCATATATAATCAATAATATTTTTTATACAACAACAACCAAACATTCCATATACAATATTATTCCTATAAATCTGAAAAGTAAATAATTTAAATTACATAAATACCTCAATGGAGCAAAAATTAAACTTAAATCTTTAGGCATGATGAGCTCCTCTTGAATCTTCCAAATATTGATCTTCTAAGAAAAATTTAAAAATTAATAATGAGAAAATATTAAATTAAAATGTAAAACGAAAATAAAAAGTAAGAATGTAAAGCATTAACCATACCTATGAAAATGTAAAATTCAGTGAAATGCAGTGAAGGAGGAGAGGAAGCAGAGAACGCAAGGGAGAAGGAAGAAGGAAGAAAAAGAAAGAAATGCGTGAAGAGTTTTGAGGTTTGGTTTTATATAGTGTAATTTGTGACGTGGTAAACACGTGGGAAAGTACCCACGTGAATACCACGTCAGAAAAATGACTCATATATCTCATTTGCAACGTGAAAAACACTTGGGAAAGTAGCCACATGATAAACACGTCAGAACTTTCCCAGCATTTTATTTTTAACGTTAAACACCCAACGGTAAAAAATTAAATGACACAATAATTTAAAAAATATGTTGCAATGTGGGATGCATGTCAAAAGTCTTGGAAAATTCAAATCAAACTTTATTGTGTCCCAAATGTAAAAGTAAAATGCAGACCAACATTAATTACTCCCTATTTGCGACGTGGGTATCACGTAGGAAACTTCTTACCTATTTACCATGTCGGAAAAACCAAGATATTTTTGAATTTCAGTTTCCCATGTGGTTACCACGCCACTCAACGTTACAAATTTTCAACTTGGGATGGTTATTAATTAAATAATGTAGTGACGTGGTTTACACGTCGCAACCTCTATTTTTTCCCACGTTTTTACCACGTCACTAGATCACTTAGCAAAATGCAGGTTTTTTTGTAGTGCTAGCCTAGCATGTGCAAATCCATCAAGGCATGAACCTTGAATTTCAACTTTGGCATCAAGCATTAATGTGATGCATTCAGGTGGCATGGATAAAGCACAAACCAGCCAAGACTCAGTCCAAAACCATGAGTGTTCAAACCTGCAAAATTGAATTGGAGTCCATGCCTAACTATGATAGGAGGAGACTTTGACTACATGATAAAATCCATTGGATAATAGCATGCTCCCTCATCCATTCACTATTCCTCCCAAAACAAATTTACTCTCCTATAAATAAAGCTCATTTTTTATCATTTAAAACACACCAAAACAATACCAAAGGCTTGTTTTCTCACTTCCCTCTCTTACTTCAAGTTTCAAGGTTCTAAGAGGCAAACTTGGAATTCTCAAAACCAGAGCCTAAACCACTCAAATAACCATTCAAACACATCCCAAATCATCCATTGGAGGTGTTCAAACCTTCATTTTCATCTCAAATCACCAAAATCAGAAAGTCAACAATCAAAACCTCATATTTTGACTTTTCTGCATTTTTCAAACCATGCCTTGATCCAGTCACTTTCAAAACCAAGCAAAATCTTAATCACACTCTAATATACATCCCTAAGTTATCCCAACAAGTGTTCCTCAATTGTAACACCATTTGAGGAAGTTCCCATTTTTCATATTTTTCATGTTTTTCTTATTAATTTTTAAATATTTGTTTTAATATTTAAAATTAATTATTTTCAAATGAATTTTTGCACAAATATCACTTACATTTTTAAATATTTTATTCATCAAAAAATATTTTATTTGATAAATTTTTATTATATTTTAAATATTATTTTAAAATTGTTTTAAAATAATTTTTTTTCTTGATATTTTTAAATCAAAATGATTTTAAATATTCATGTGGATAAAATACTTTTTCATAAATCTTAATCTTTGTTTTTAACATGGTTAATGATTTTATTTGATAAGTTATACATATTTTATTTGATTTTTCTTTGAAAAATATCTTTAAAAATATGAAATTAGGCTTTTTATTTGATTCAATCTTTCATAGCAAAGACTAGGTTTAACCAAGTTATACCAATGTCCACAATTCAAGGTGCTAAAAAATAGGCCATAGGCGTTTCCTTTCGTGATCAGCACTGAATTGAAAGTTTCCTAAAATATAGCCTGAGATAAATAAGAAAACATAACAGAAAACAAAACAGCGCCCATGTTGGCAGATACCGATGTAACAACATTCAGCTTGACATCCAATAAACTTTGTATTAGCTAACCAAACATATACTGCAGAACACTACACAAGTATGTCATGACATCAGTCAAGACATTTACACACATAACAATGTTTTACCACAAAATGCAGGCAATCAAGAACCTCTACAGAAGTGATGAAATGAGATCTTGACACGGTGGTGCAAACTTCTGATCCGACAAAACTGGGGTGGACTTGTAAGGTTAACACTCCATGTCCAAATCAGTGAGAAAATAAGGTGTAGTGTGAAAATGAGAGTGAATTTGAATGAATGAAATGATACACTTTTATCCTTATATACCGTGAGCGATTAAAATCCTTTGTGTCCAATGTATCATGTTATGCGGACAACAGCCTAATTAGATTGGACAACCGCTGATTGGCTGAAGGGCATAATCATCTGTAATTGATTGGAGTGAAGATCCACATATTTCGTGCACTCTCTTGCTTAGTGTATCCTCTTAAGCCTTCAGTAATGGGTCTTGCGAGCGACCCAGAACAACATAATATGAGCAATAAATTATTTAGTGCATATTTAGCAAACTTTATCAATTATGATGGATAGTGATATAATTTTTTTAATTTATAATCAAAATGATAATTTAAAAAAATCACACTACGAGGATTTATGTTTGAACTTAACATAAAATATCAAACTATGAACATTTCCGGTTAAACTAGACACACATACAAACTCTAATTTATGTGAAAAAGAAATAAGAAATAAATAGTCAAAGTAAACCAAGTTTATTTTATAAAAAAAAAAGGTAAACGACTTTTTTTATATTATAAAATAAATAAATAAACATGTCTAAAGATCCTCTGTCACGTCCTCAATATTATAGTAATATTTAGAATTTCAACTAACAAAATAATAGTAATATTTAGAATCTCAACCATGTTATGTCAAACAAAAAAAAACATACTATGTTGATTTTTTATTTGGGAAAATGAAATATGCATCTTAAAGATCTTCGTCCACGTCCTAAAAAAATGGCACATGACAAAATAATAGTAATATTTAGAATCTCAACTATGTTATGTCAAACAAAAAAGAATCTCCACTATGTTGATTTTTTATTAGGGAAATAGAATATGCATCATCACTATATTTAAGAGGAGAAAGAAATCGATCTCTTCTTCCTTTCAGTCTGCCATATTATTGTGTATTGAAGAAAAAATAGGGTGATAGAAAATGAGATTCATATTAATATTATGGATATTGTTTTTGTTGTATGGTTGTTTTGTGGGTGTATATGGTGAAAGAAGGTTTGTGAAAATACAAGTAACAAGTTTTAATGTTACTTCTTCTATGACTCAAAATCAACAACACAGTTTTCTCACAAAAGCTGTTCATTTCTTTTGGAAAACAGATGGATTAGGTTATACACATGTCTGGCCGGTAAGCTTTCACTTTTCTCTTAATCTTCGACATTTTTTTTTCTAAATATTCTATTATGCAGGAAATGGAGTTTGGATGGCAAATAGTATTAGGTAGTTTTGTTGGTTTTTGTGGAGCAGCATTTGGAAGTGCTGGTGGCATTGGTGGTGGTGGAATATTTGTTTCTATGCTTACTCTTATTATTGGATTTGATCCCAAATCATCCACTGCTATCTCAAAATGTAGGCCATATGTTATTTTTAACAATTTATATAACACCGATATCTTTAAAAAAAAATTGTGTCAGTGTGTCTGTGTTGTGTCAGTATCATGTCTAATATCTTACTATTTGTTTCAGGTATGGTGATGGGTGTATCCCTTGCATCAGCTTACTACAACCTTAAACTGAGACATCCTACCTTAAATATGCCAATAATTGACTATGATTTGGCACTTCTCATTCAACCTATGCTCATGCTTGGTATCAGCATTGGAGTTATCTTCAATGTTGTGTTTCCTGATTGGCTTGTAACAATATTGCTTATTGTTATTTTCTTAGGTAATTAATTACATATGAAACTGTTCTTTTCAGTTTTGCATTTTTCTTTTTATTTTATTTTTTTTACTCTTCTTTAGGCACATCAACTAAGGCATTTTTTAAAGGGGCTGAAACATGGAAAAAGGAAACCATAGTGAAAAAGGTGTCTTCTATTGTTTCATGTTGAATATAGAGTTATTTATTTAATGATGAACACTAAAAAATTTATGACTAACTTTCTTGATTCATTCTAGGAGGAGGCTGCCAGGAAACAAGAATCAACTGGTGAGATCAAAAATTGTTTATTTAGTAATATTTATAAAAATAAAAATAAAAGATTTTTTTATCATTTTTTTTATTTTTTTTTGTTAGACATTATGTAATTTTTTTTGGTTAGGTTTTGAAGGTGAAGCTGAATACAAACCTCTTTCAACTGGACCAAATGGTGCCATTGAAAATGAAACAAAGGTACATAAAACTAATGATGGTTAGGGTTGATCTATCTCCATGTCAAATAATATGGTTCTTTTCTTTTAAAGTGGCATGATCATTATATGATTTTCTATTAGAGATTTGAATTATATCTCATATGATTAGAGAAATTAAACTCTTACCACTAAACTAATACCTTATATTACAAGTATTATTTTTAAAAGAAGTTTGTTCAGTAATCTCTAGTTAGTTCTATAGTTAGAAGGTGGTTAGTAAGTTGTTAGAATGTTAGTTAGGCATAGTTGAGTTTAGTTAGAGTTTGTTAGAACTCAACCAACTTTTAACATGGTATAAATAGCCATTGATCATTTCTTCCATTTGTTGGAGAAGTTTTTCAAATAGGGAGCATTGAACATTGTGAGATTTCCTTTTGAGAGCAACACCTTGTGAGAGACACATCACATACTCACCCAAAACCTTAAGGTGATAGGTGTATAAGTTCTTCCACTTATAAATACTCAAGTCTTCATATTTCTAGCCAATGTGAGACTATTATTCATATTACTCACACTTGTTATATTTAACACTCCCTCTCAAGTGTGAGTCTATCCACAATACTTCCACAACTCCCCCTTAAGCGGAAGCTCTTTTCTACTTCCACATAAACTTGTATCGTCATTGAAATTCTTTAACGAGACATTCTACCCACGACATGTGGATACTTTCGATACAAGTGAGTCGATCCCTTCCTTAAACCAAAGGTTCATGATACCACTTTGTTGGGGGGGGGGGGGGGGGTTATCACTAGGGAGCATTGAACATTGGGTCAAGAGCAACACAAGTGAGAGAGACACCACATATTCTCCCAAAACCTTAAGGTTTTAGGTGAATGTGTGGTGTCTCTCTCACTTGTGTTGCTCTTGACCCAATGTTCAATGCTCCCTAGTGATAAACTCCTCTAACACCATTATTCATTTGTTCTTCTTCTTATTTCTCTTTTTTATTCTTGAGCTCTCATCATTGTAGAAATTGATAAATCATTTTCTGTGTCCAAGAATATAACGTTTTCGCAAAGTACAACTTTAGTATTTGGAAGTTCTTCTTCAAACTCACTTGGTCTCAAATTATCCATTAAGCAGCAATACAAGAAGTACTTACTTTAGAATCAACAAGTTGAATGTGCAATACTTACACATAAGCTCCACAACTATGTGGTGAATCCAAAGATTCCTTCCATGTTTAAAACATATGAGCATCATCTCCAAAACATTATCTTAGAAGAGTATGAAACCTGGATTGTTCAAGACCAGACTCTATTTACACTATTATTGTCAAAGATTTCATAGACGGTGTTACCTTGTCTTATTTCTTGCAAACGTTCCTATGAGGTGTGATACGACATTCATAAGCATTTCACAACTATCATAGAAGCTCACGTGCTTAAATTACATACAAAACTTAAGACTACAAAGAAACTTAATTGCTCAACTTCTGATTTTGTTCTTCACATTAAAGTCATTGTATACTCCTTACCATCTATAGGTGATTCCATATATTAACAAGATCAGATTAATGTTATTGTTGATGGGCTTCTAGAGAAATATAGTCCATTTATAATGTATGTTTATGGTTTCCCCAAGCCACCTACAATTTATGATGATGAGGTTTTGCTTTACATTCAAAAGGCTCAACTTCATAAGTTTGGGCAAGAACTTTCAGTTTCAAATGTTTCTTCCAATCTAGCTCAACATGAACCTAGTACAATTATGCGCGTTGGCCATTGTCTGCGTGGTCGTGGAAGAAGCTTTCGTCTCAGAGGTCTTTATATCTTTCGGGTTTCAATATTTTTTATATGATGCATGACTGCATATTTATGTATGTGTGTGTGTGTGTTTAAAAAAGAAACGAGTAAAACAGATTTTTAGCCAAAATGAAAATTTTGAAAGTTGAAACAGAATGTATTTACTACAAACTAAAATGAGTCAATACATAAGGTGGAGGAGTCAATATAAGCCATGAAGGAGTCGATACATTGAGGCCAATGAGTAATTGTTTGAAAAATGATTTAGAAGGAGTCGACTCCAAACACGAGGGAGTTGACTCATTAAATTAATGTATAGACCATCCCTTCAATGTATCGATACATTGAAGGCAATGACGTTTGCTTGAAAAGACGTTTTAGATGGAGTCGACTCCAACTATGTATGAGTCGACCCATTCGCAAGATGTATCAATTCGTCTTGCCTATGTATCGATACATTAGAGGCATATTTAAATCCTTTGAAAATTAACTCAGTATGTATCGATACATACCAAAGATGTATCGACCCATTCATAACTTTTTCATGAAAAATCATATTTTAAGCATGTTATGGCCTATTGAGTCTAATTTTACATGACCTATAATGATGATGCACATCTAGACAAAGACTATAAGTTCCAACGTACACAAAGAACTAAGATACCTAATTTTTACATCATTCATAACACATTTAAAAGTATATCACACTCATAGACGCTTCCAAGGAAGCATTATGACTTACAAGGTTAGTGGAAGAGTTAGGTATTGCGCAAGGTGGAGTTTAGTTGCATTTTGATAGTCATAATATCATCTATTTAGCAAACAATCAGGAGTATCATGCTAGGACCATAAGTAATGGTAAATGGGCAAGGGGCGAGGTTGCATAGCTACTTCAACAATTAATATCAGAGCTTTATTGGGTTTCAAGTTGAACAGGAAAGCACTGTTATGGAGTCTAGGGAGTGCCAAAATTATCAATGGGTCAACGCTCATGGTTCAAAGAGACTTTGACACCACATATCCACACAAAAACATTAATATAATGGGGGCATGGGTCACCTTTCTTATAAACTCAATATTTCCTCCATTCTTAGTCAATGTGGGACTTTTTAGCACTTTCACACTTAAAATCCTACAATTTTCCCCACGAGTATGAGTCACACACATCACTAGTCTTGATCTATACTAAGATTTACTTCTACTCCCCCAAAGAGCCTAATCAGGGCTCTGATGCCACTGTTGAGGAGTTCGGAGAGCGCCTGGAGTGTCAATGGGCCAAAAATTCATGGTTCCAAGAGACGTTGATACTACATATTCACCTAAAACCTTAAGACAATTGGGGTATGAGTCACCTCTCTTATAAACCCAACATTTTTCCATTCCTAATCATTGTAGGACTTTTTAGGACTTTCACACTTGAAACCCAACAATATCATCAATAGGATCCCAACTGCATGTCTACCTAGTCTCTCATCTCCCTTTTATGCTCTACACAATGAATTTTCTAGTTAAAAATCCCTCAAAGTGTTTAGTTGACCATGTTTTATTTTTCTTCCACCCTATAATCAACACAAGTTTCATATAAGAAGTCAGGAATACATGTTTACCTAGGAGTATTCCTCAATATAAGGGATTCAATTGTCTTAACAAAGATGGTAGGGTCGTTATCTCCAAAGATGTGTCTTTTTATGAGTGTAAATTTCCCACCACACCTTATTTTCACATGGCATAGATAGCTACAATGCACAGGGTAAAGTCCTTTTCTGCTTTTGACAAAGATAGTTGGCCTAAATAGTAGATTTATCTCTCACCTATGCAGTTGAGACATTCAATGTTTTGGTACCTTTGTGTCTGAAAATACCAGTTTGGTCCTTATAAATCCTAATGATATGTCTCTCTCGCATGACGCTTCCATTGGTGTGTCACTTTCATTTGAAACTTTATGTCCTGCTAGCTCTAATCAACCAATAGTTTTTTCCAACTTAGACATGCCTACTACTTAGATAACAATAGTTCATTTGAAATTTTATGAACCTTTACTAGGTGAATTATTTCCCAACATATCAATTTCAGAGTCACCAAACTTGCCTGACCCACATGTCACTCCTCACACAAATGCTCATCACATGCTCACTATAACAAAGAAAGGTCACTCCAAACCTGAAGCCAATCAATTATGGACTTACTTTGCTTCCTTCCAATCATCTTCACAAGTTCTCTCTTCGAGCATATAGTGATAGTGATTGGGTTGGTGATGTTGACGATAGAAGATCCATTTATGGTTCATCACTACTACAAAAAAGCGCTTTTTACCTCGGACACAAAATGCAGAATACCTCGGCTAAAAAAGCGAGATAACAAAGGGCGACATAAAAACTCGCCACTTATCACCTTAGTGGAATTAAAACCGAGAGGTAAAGTTACATGGATATGGGTTCGAGCCCCATTAGCTGCAGTTTTATTATTTTCAAAATTATCTTATCTTACCTTTCCGTTTACAAATAAAATTGAGGGGTAATATTATTTCTTTTTTAAAAAGAAAATCGTTATATGGTTTACCCAGAATATTACACTTTTTACCCATAATATTACATTGTTTACCAAGAATATTACATTGTTTACACAAAATATTAAAATAAAAATTAAATTTTCTATAGGTCTAAATAAAAATTAAATTCCCTAGGTGGGTGAAGATCAAATGTTGGTGCAAATATATTCTCCAAGACTTTGCATGCATTTGATTCTGAAGTAAAACAAAATAAGGGTTAGATAAATAAAATCAATATTCAAATATATGATTTTATACTCAAATAAATATTTAAAAAAACAAACCTTAAACCCAAATGATTTTATGGTCTTTCAATGCATATTAGAGAACTTTTCCAAACTCTTAATGTTTCAAGCGCTTCATGTTCCATATAGGTTAGATTTTCAATATTCGACATGCTTTTATAATGGATGTCCCTTAGGTTTCACATGGATCACTAATGGTAGATTCTTGAGCATTGATAAACATTAAATGGACGACAAAGATTTGTTTAAGGACATTGAATATAGTAAAAAAAATGCATAACTATCCCCTCGGTCAGGAAGAAAACTGAGGTGAATAAGTTGTTTTTTTAATTACGTTGTTTACACACAATATTAAAAATACATTATAAAATTTGTTTTCCAATGAGAATTTTTATTTTCCATGTCCATGTCCCATGCAATATGCTAGAGATCTGTTTTCCAATGAAAATTTTTATTTTCTGCACTTGAAATTCATCCCAGAGATCTGAGTAGAAACTCATGATCAAATGAATTGTGGTGAATATTTTCTCTCTTTAGGGCAGCTACATATAAGTTAGTCTTAGGGTAAAATCTATTTAACGAGTGCTTTATAGTAAAATATGATTATTAAACACCTCAGTTTTATTATAATAAAATCGAAAAAAAATTTCTTCTCCTTTTAACTATCACTTCAGTGATGACGAAAACCGGAGTGAATAATTCTTTATTTTTTTTAAATTACATTGTTTACACAGAATTTTCAAATATACTGTTTACGACAAATTTTTATTCTTATTACTGAATATATTTGTTGATATACAGATTTAGTTGCATTCTCTTCTTTGTTCAAATGTTAATCTCCCTTCCTTGTTGGTTAAGCTCCATTCTTTGTTGGTTAAGCTTCATTCTTTGTGTAACTTGAAGCAAGAATGACATTATGCACTTGCAATCTATCAATTGAGTATTCTTTAAAGGTTGAAATCTCTTCTTTAACTGAGTGTTATTCCAAAAATATAACAATGACGAAATCAACACCATTATGTAAGGGTGGATAGCAAGGGCAGAAAAAATGTTTGGTTCAAGATAGAAGAATATTGAAGATTTTTTCTATCTTGTAATCCATCCTAAATAATGATGCTTGTGAGTTTGGGGCGGTTTCATATTAGTAAGGGTTAGGGTAAAATTTGTTTAACGAATGATTTTATAGTAAAATCTTATTATTTTATGTCTCGGTTAAATAAAAAATCGAAGGGTAACATTTTGTTTACACTTATAAACAAATAAAATCATAAACTGTGATAACTGAGAATTGAAGCTTGTACTGAGTTGTTTTTTCACCTCGGTGTTATGAAAAATCGAAGAAATGTATGGTTTTTTATGTTTTTAAATAATAAAAAATAGCGCGATTTACCTTTATACATCGGTTTTCTATTGTTCGAGGTGAAAGTTTCGTCATGAAAAACATTATTTGTTGTAGTGCGTGCATCTTTTTTGACCTAAATCTAGTTTCATGGAGCTCCTATAAACAATTTGGTAGCTTGGTTGAGCGCAGAGGAAGAATACTGCATGTTGTCACATACCACCCCAGAACTTTTTATGCCTTGAGTCTCTTCTAACTGAACTAAGCATCTTCTTCTCCCTCCCACACTAACTTGTGATAATCTCAATACTGTGCATCTCTCCCATAATTTAATCATACATGTTCGCACAAAGCATTTTGAATTGGCCATTCATTTTATCAGAGAACTCATGTCCTCTAAGAAATTTTTTGTTCTAACATGTCCTAGCTTCGCTTTAAATCACAAACAAACTTATTAAGCCTCTTGGGTCTATAACATTTTGGATTTGCGTGTCAAACTCAAAGTTAATTTATAACCACCTTAAACTTGAGGAGGAGCATTACAAGTATATTATTTTCAAAAGGAGTTAGTTTAGTAATCTCTAGTTAGTGTTATAGTTATAAGGTAGTTAGTAAGTTGTTAGATGGTTAGTTAGAAGTGGTTGAGTTAGTTAAAGTTTGTTATAACTCAACCAACTTCAAATAATCCTATATATTCTAGTCAGCCTTTGTAATCAGTTAGTTTTTTAATCAAACAAGAATGAGGATGAATTAAAGATTCATTAAAGTATTCACAAAATCACGTTAACATCTTTATATACATTAGCGTTCAAACAGACACTTTCATATTTGTTTGTCCGCTTTTTTTAATGCACACACGCGTTAAAATATAAACGAATATTTTTTATTTAATTTTAATTTTAACTTAAAATATTTGCGTGATAAATTTGTGATACATATGCAGTATCGCGTCCATCAATCCGCTTTTTTATTATGTTAATTTGTGTATATCTGTTCTTTCGCATATGTCCACTTAAAAAAAAAAACAGTACTTGAATATAATAGATTAGTGTCTAGACGGGCATAGACCCCTTTATCCGCTCTTTCTAAAGTATTTACAAAATCTCTTTTAACACCTTTATATACATAACAATATGGTAATTGTAGGTGACTATAAGTGAAAATGTGGACTGGAAAATGTTTGGACTTCTTACACTTGTTTGGGTTTCATTCATTGCACTACAGATTGCTAAGGTTTGTTCTTTCATCAATTGTAGTAAATTCATAATAACAGTTTATAACATGCAATCCATGTTTTCTCTTGACAGCAAAACACATCTACATGTTCAACAACATATTGGGTTCTCAACTTTTTGCAGGTAATAATTTCTATGAATTTGTATATGAATGTTTCTTATAAGTTACAAATGAAGAAGTTTGAATCATGTCTTACATGTTATATATGCAGATTCCAATCTCAATTGGGGTATCTTCATACAAGGCAACTGAGTTATTCACAAGGAAAAGAGAAATTGCTTCCACAGGTGATCAAGGGAAAGAATTTACAGTTATCAAACTAATCATCTATTGTGTCTTCGGCCTATTGTCGGGCGTAATCGGTGGATTGTTGGGACTAGGAGGCGGATTCATTATTAGTCCACTTTTTCTTGAACTGGGAATCCCTCCTCAAGTGAGTTTCAAATTGCATTATCTTGATCATAAAAAATAGTTGGTTAGTTTAATTTCTAATCGAATTTGATATCGACTGTGAATGTGCACAGGTTTCAAGCGCGACAACAACGTTCATCATGATATTCTCTTCGTCTATGTGTGTCGTGGAATACTTCATGTTGAAACGATTCCCAGTTCCTTATGGTTCGTGCTTTAGTCTCGATAATAATATTCAATTTTGTATGATAGAATGCATCTTACTAACGTGTTATTTTTGAAATGTGACACACAGCTCTCTACTTCAACCTGGTGGCTATTATTGCAGCCTTGGTTGGACAACATTTTGTGAGAAAGATAATCAACCTATTTGGGAGAGCATCTGTCATCATCTTTATTCTTGCTGGTATAGTATTTATCAGTGCAATCTCACTTGGTAAGCATACAATATTTTCTCTTTGGTTTGCTTTTTTATCTACTAAACTTGAGGCAACATTATATGTGTATGCTTATGAGTTCTAAGACATTTTCTTCACTCATTTTGGTAGGTGGAGTTGGCATTTCAAATATGGTGCACAAGATTGCAATGCATGAATATATGGGATTTGAGAATATATGCAAGTATGGGTCATAGCACTTTAGAGAAGATGTAAACTTTTTTTATATTGTGTTTATATTATCCAAGTTATTACATATTTGATTTTTAATTAATTAATTTTGTAAATTTGATTTTGATTAAAAGTGAGTTATATGTAAAGTTAAACAATATAAAAGTATATTTTTGGATTCCAAAGTTATAAATTTGTTCTAAGTTATAGAAAATGTATCTGGCGACTCCTACCGTATGACTTAACACTCTCACCTATTTTTATAATATTCATATTATCATTGTTAAAATTTTGTTAAAAATATTCGGATGAAAAAACCAGTAGAACAAGTAAAAAGTCCAATTTAAAAGTGAAAAATCCGAATTTTTCAAAAAGTGACGTAGTTTGCGAGATAATTTGAAAAGTGTTGTAGTTTATCAAAATTTTCAAAAAGTGTTGTAGTTTATTGAAATTTTCAAAAAATTTGATAGTGTTAATTTTTTTTGTCTATCGAATATGAATCACAAGCAGTGTTTGAAAATCCAGAAAACTACAAAACATTTCAAAAATCCGGTATTTTTTCAAACATTTATTAGAAATTTTGAAAATTTCAAGTATTTCTTCAAAAAAAATCCAATAAACGCAAAAAAAAAAAACTAAAAAATATTTAGTAAGGTATAAAAGTCATAGCAGTCTTCATGTGGGAGTGTCGGTTCAAACTATGGGGATGACAAGATAAAAAAGAACATGTAAGAACTTGATATGGTAGGACATTTCTCTACAAGTGTCGTTAACGGTGATAGACATGAGGTTTTGAGTTTAGATCAATGTGTACCTGAATGTTCATAATCCCACTTTTATAGTGGTTTTTTTATGTTTGAGGCCATAAAACCTTATGCTCGGGATAGTTGTCATAAGGCATAAGTTCAGAAGATTCCATACACTACTGTACGATAGTCTTTAGGGACCAGTCAACTCTAATCATATGTATTCTTGAGGAAAGATCATCTCAAGGTTCTAAAGTACTAAAATCTTCTTCTGGGACGGCTGAGTTAGTCTGCTAACATCAGTGGATCCAACTACCCATTTAATATTTATACCCCTTAGATGTTTGGTCGACCATAATTTAGTATGATGACAGGGTGCGACTATTATAAGGTTCGAAACTATTCTTTAGATGTCGATGCCTTCAACTATCTCGGATGAACGTTGAATGGATCTGACGACCTCAAGTAAATGAACAGGTAGCGAGTTATCCAAACTCGCTTACTTGGTGTTATGGTGTTGAATGGATCAGACTGAAAAAGTTATCTCCAGCCACGTGATTTAGTGATGTGAAATTCACATGTCTAAAAAGGAAGGTTGCGACGTGAAATTCACATGTCTAAAAAGGAAGGTTGCGACGTGAAAATCACGTCACTAAATATTTAAAATAATAAACGTCGGGTTTTTCCATGGGGGGAATTTTAAAAATTTTAAGCAATTATTTGTGACATGTATTTCACGTCGCTAACCAAAATTAAAATTTTTTTAAAAATGAGTAGAGAATGTTGACTAGTTGAATTAATTAAGCTGACAAATTTAATAATAATAAAAAAATTAGTGAAGAAATCAACCCATAAAAAAATCAAACAATACATACCTTATAGTGAAGAAATCAAGTTCATGAGTCTTTGTTCAAAGACTCATGAACTTGATTTCTTCACTATAAGGTATGTATTGTTTGATTTTTTGGGGTTGATTTCTTTACTAAAAATATATTGAGTTGTGGGTTGTTTGATTTTTTATATGTATTGTTGTTATATTTATATAAATATGTTTAATTTCTTACTCAAGAACTTGATTTCTTCACTATAAGTATGTATTGTGTGTTGAAATTGTAATTCCTTGTGTTGAAGTAGTGTAGCTCGACAGAAAAACAAAGATTAATCGAATTAGCCTAATTGTGTGAGTCGAGTTGTTTAGATGTCGAAGTGTCGAAGCAGATTTCTTGACACAGAATTTGGACTTAGACCAAAATTAGTAATTTTGGGATTTCTTCTATTATAAATAGAGGGAGTAACCCTTATTTTGTAATAACTTGTATTCACCGAATTTTGCAGTTGCAAAGTGAATAAAGAAGTTTTCCACAGTTTGTGGGCGGAGTTCCATAGTTGAGAATCATTCCCTTCTTCCTTTAATGTTTTCAAACTCTTTCTTTCTTTCTCGTTTTTCATTAACAGTTGTTGCGCATAATCTTCCTTTTTTTCCATTTCATCCCTCGCACTTGAATACCTCCTAAGTTTCTTTTTCTTAAGCCTCGTATATTTATGTTTTATTCTTGTTGTTTCAAACCGTTTTGGTAAAGTGTATGCACCATTGTTGCTTCTTGATGTTCTATCCCATATTGCTCTATTAAATTCATCTATCGATGAGTTTCCTCATGGGTCTTTAACTTTGTTTTACTGCTTTTACAACATCTTCTGAAACAATCTTCTTCATGTTTTAGATTGAGGTGACCAAGTTTTTGGTGCCAAAGCTTGGTTTCATCAACTTTTGTCATCAGACAAGTTGAGGGATCTTCTTTGTTCAAATATATCCATAGATAATAGTTATCCTTGTACCTTGAGCCTTTCATAACCACTCTTTGATCTTGGCTAGAAACAACACATTCTAATATGTTAAAGCTAACCTTCAGACCTTGATCACATAGCTTACTTATACTGATCAAGTTGGAAAACAGACCTTCCACCAGTAACACATTATCATGCCTAGGTAGACCAAAATATACTAGTTTGCATATTCCCTTGATTTTTCCTTTTGCACCATCACCAAAAGTGACATAGTTGTTAAAGTAAGGTTGTAGCTCTTCAAGATACTACTTTTCTCGTGTCATGTGTCTAGAACAACCACTATCAAAATACCAATCCTCTCTAGAGAATACTCTAAGAGAAGTATGAGCTATAAGAATTGTAGCTTCCACTTTCGGTTTCTACACCTTCTTCCATTGATCCTTCTCTTCTTTCCTTTTAAACCTTGTCTACCTATGCTGTTGTGGAAAACCATATAGTCTGTAACAATTCAGCCTTATGTGTCCATATTTTCCATAATGATGGCATCTTCTATTGTAGTCCTTACGATGGTGGTGCACATGTCGAGCTTGATGCTGGAACATGTGATCCTTTTTGTTCATATGATTGTAGTCAAATCTTATGGTTATAGAATTTCTTAGCTTCTTTTCTTCCACTTGTAAATCTTTTAGCAATTCTGCATCAGTTCACGTCTTCTCCTTATCTTCCATAATTCTATCTGACATGTCTTGAGGTCTTACAAACTTTACTAACTCCTCCAACTTGGATGTTAGAATAGAAATATATTCACCCTGACTATAGATTGTAGGGGAAAGATTTTGATTTTCTTGATGAAGCTCCCTTACTGCTTTCTTTGGCTCTAAATTTCTTTATAGGCTTCTTTACACTTGATGAACACAAACCTATCAGATTCAGCTATCTCTTCTTTAGTTAAATAGTCATCATCATATTCACTTTCAGTAATATACTTACTAGATTAAGCCTTGGAAATGTCAGAGGTTTCTTCCTTCATTCTCAGATTCTCAATCCTTTTTTATAAGAGCTTTGGCATATGAGTTTCTGGTCACTCTTCATGAGCATACTTGAGAATATCCCATGCTTCTTTAGCTTTTGAATATGTATTGATTAACCTTAACATGTTTGTATCAACCCCTTTGAGAATAACATTCAGAGCCTTGGAGTTTCCAAGGGTTTCATCATCTTCAACTTTGGTCTGATCAACCTCTAGTTTTAGCCTAGTTAACCTGTCTTCAGAAGTAATAAATGGATGTTTCCATCCTTTTATTATAGCTTTCCACATTTTATTTCCTAATAATTTGAGAAAAACCATCATCATCACCTTCTAATAATCATAGTTCATGCCATCCAAAACAGGAGGTTTGTTGGCTGGTTCTCCATCTTTCACTGTCTCCATTTGAGCAAAATATATCTTCCCTAGAGCTCATCCATAAGGCTAGGGGGAACTCTCTAATGCTAATTGAAATTTCGTTTCTCAAGGGACAGATGTGGAACACGATGCTACATCAATCGGTGAGACAATATACACAAAAAACAATACACTAGCTAGTAATAGATGATAGAGCATAAAAGCAATAAAGAAAACAATCAAATTGTTTACCCAGTTTAGTGAAACTAGACCTGCGTCTGGGGGATGAGTTAATAACCCAATAAAGGAAATTCATTATTAGTATCTTAGTATAATTAGACTCACAAGCAACAATTCAATGCCTCTTCCTAACTACCCAATGAATTTCTATTTAGAGTATCCCCATAAATATGAGAACCTACTCACTTTCTTCTCTGCCATAATCCCAGTGATCAGGGAAAACAATCATTAAACCTTAGTGATCAACTTCAATCTTCACAAGGTAAAGAATGTTTAAAATTATAATTTAAGTAGACAAACCTTCTATGCCAAGTTACTGAAACATAGAAGTGTACATGAACAATGTTAGTTACAAATCAACTAGACATATCTTCTATGCTAAGTTATTGAAACATAAAGGTGTACATGAAGATTCAACATTAATTCTCTAATGGATTTAACGTGAATACACAACAAAAAAACCTAGACACTCTAAGATCTTCAATGAGAGTGCTTGCCTTCCAATGTAGGTTTTGATCTCCTTATATTAAAAATAACTCTGGGCTTTTTCTTTATTGGTCTTTAGATATTTTTATCCAGAATCTTGGTACATTCTGTTGGATATTTGATTTGCTCCTTGAATATCTCCAACAAGATTTGATTTTTTAAAAATTCAAATTCAAATTTAAATCTTCATTTAAATCCGAATTAAACCCCCATCAAATTGTCACACAAATAATCTAATCATATTGTTACATCAATAATAAGAAAATCTTAGACCAATCTTCTACAAATTATACTTCAAAATGCATATTTTGGTGCCTGTTGCACAAGGCCCTTGTGTCGTACCAACATGATGGAGCATCGCGCCCAGCGTGTGGCCTTTCTACAA